CCCCAAAACCCCAAAACCCCAAAACCCCAAAACCCCAAAACCCCAGTTTTGATTAAAGGCATTGAACTTTTAGGATAAAGACTTTTGGGTCAATTTACTTTAAAATCCTGGGTGGCTAGAACCAAGATGTTTTCAGAAGTCTTTATATGTAAGGTATCCGATATGGTGGGTGTCTAGAGTTCCAAATATGCTATTGATATCAATTAGCGTCATTTCTCCTTTATTTTCTAGTTTAAGAGCAGGGATTGATATCTTTAATCTTTCAAGCCCCTCTCTAAACTCTCTTTTGTTCACAGTAGTGTTATTATCAGGGTCAAAAAATCTGAAAGCTTCTGAAATTTTGTTAAATTTTTGACTAATTTTTATCCAAAGTAGCTGAATCACTGAGTCGAGCTCTTCTTGATTATTTTGGTTTATTTTACTTTTCTTGAGATATATTTTCTAAAAGTTATTTTGCTATTTACTCGTGTTTTATTTTCGTTTGGATTTAGAACTATTTGAATCTGACCAGATTCATTTTTATTATTTTGTAATTGTCACATTCAGATATTCTCAGATGTGGTTAAACTTATCTAACTTATGAAGATCAATATCTTCTTTGTCCTCTGAGAGCAAGACATGGATAAGCTTTTGTAATAGAGAAGGATACTGCAGAGCGGTACTATGGCCAATAAGCGATCACCAGATCTTCTTAAAGTCCTCAATTGGAATAGTTTGTAAGTCTCCGTATAATTTCTCAAAATATGTTCTCATGAAGTGGATAACTCTGAGGTCAACTCCAGCCTTTGCAATGGCTTTGATGACCACGATTTCATCTTTACATTTGCTTGACTCTGATAAGAAGTCATTTTGGTACAGACTCAAGTTATTTTAGCTTAAAGGGATTTTCGGAGCAGACAGATTTTCTTTTTCTTTGTTTGAAAGTAAAGCTCTTGTACTTGTCCATAAAGTTACTTGCTTGCCTTTTTGGAGTAGTTAGGGAAATCCATGAGGTTTTTTTGTAAGAATCTGTCCTTGCTTTCATTGAAGCCATGAGAAGTTGACTCATAAATGAAATCGTAAGAAGTACTTAATTCTGAGCGATGTTTTAGGAAGGTTTTATTCATTCTTTCATCAGTCCAGCTTTGACATAAGCTTTTGGAGTAGTGAGAATTCCGATAATCAGACCTCCCTTGACTCGATTGTGAAATATTTGAATCCTTCTCAAGGCTGTAGTTAGAGCTTGGTTTGACGTTTATTCTTTCTTGAGATCTAAAGTTTGTAAGAAAGTAATACTTCGAGTGTTCGCTCTTTTTAATACATTCAACATATCTCTTAATCATATTTTTAACTCATTTCTCTTTATCCTGATCAGCTGTGCTTATAGATGCTCTTGTCTTTCCTATTTTCTTTGAAACTAAAGATGATTAAAGAGCGTTACGATGTTTTTTAATCAATTTCTGTTGTATCGATAATAAGTTATCTACATTCATCCTTTTGAATCTCTTAGAAAATGCCTGTTTGATCATACTGGAAGAGGGAAGAGTGGATTTTATTATTGTTTTGTTTTCTGCTTTATTATTGTTTTTGATGGTTTTAAAGAGTGAATTGGATCTATCTCCTATACTTCTACGCTCTTCTGATTGCTCAACAAATTTATTTCTATTCCCTAAAGCTATATTCAAGTCTATACCTATAATTTTATGAATTTCTCTTCTTTTGTTATTATTTTGAGCGAATTCTTCTTTTCAAAGATTTAGAGCTTCTTTGGGATTTACTTAAATATTCTAAAATACCAATAGTCGCTCAATATACCATTATCATTATAAGCATATCCATTTTCTAAGCTGAATCTCTATGTATAACAACTATTATCTCTTACAGTTAGGTCCATGATGTGATTTTATTTCAATTTTATATGAAATTTCTGGGGTTTTGGGGTTTTGGGGTTTTGGGGTTTTGGGG